TGGGTAGCCTGTGCCAGGGCTCCGTCACCCTCAGAGTGAAGAAGTTCTTCCTCATGTTCAGACGGAACTTCCTCGGCTTCAGTTTGTGCCCATTGCCCCTTGTCCTGTCGCTGGGCACCACTGAAAAGAGTCTGGCCCCATCCTCCTGACACCCACCCTTCAGATATTTATAAGCATTTATAAGGTCCCCTCGCAGCCTTCTCTTCTCCAGGCTGAACAAGCCCAGCTCCCTCAGCCTTTCCTCATAGCAGAGATGCTTCAGTCCCCTCATCATCCTCATAGCCCTAATTTATGTGTGTGGGCAGAGTAATGGCCCCGAAACGTTAAAGGGTGCAGCTTGTGCACCTGCACCAAGAACCAAAAGGCGTAGCTGTCAAGCGAGATGTCGTTTTAGTGCACTAAATTAAAAATACTGTGTGTTTATTGGAATAAAAGTATCTCCTCTAATCACCAGCATCACCTGAATGTTCTTTTTATAAAAAGGCAAAGCCTAAAATACTCAATTCCAAATGCCCAAAGCAGAACTTTTTTCTTGCTTGGACACCAAAATACGATGTATTGGTTGCCATAGGTGCTGCAAGATCATAAATATCAGGTGAGCCTAGGGATCCGTGCAGATGCAGATGTTCTGTTGGTGTAGGCTTTCCAAAAGAGTTGACCTTAAATATAGACTTAGGATCTTAATACAAATAATCTCTATTTTGGATCGCTGCGATGGAAATTGAAAAAGAAAACTCTGTAAAAATTAATTTTACTGGTGATCTGGTTACATGCTTCCATTAAGAGCACGTATTTAATATCCACACGTCTGAGGCTGGACAGCGTGGACTTTGAAGAAGACTGGCACAACTGACATGTAAAGCGCTGTTGAGCCTTCTGGAGAGTTTTAAGACTAATTTATAGCCAAAATTGTGCGCTTTCCCTGTGAGCAGCGGGCCTGTCTGTGCCACGGGTGGGCCTGTGTTTGCAGATGGGATTCTAAAGCAGTGGCTGCCTCTGAAGGTAACTGTGATACGTGGTTTACTGCGTCCCCAGTTGTGACGGTGTGCTCCCAGGTAGCTGTGACAAGGTATGGCATGGCCCTTAAATTCAGTGGGTCAGAAATGTAAAATGGAGCTAAAATTCTGCCTGTCAGGAGGGATGATTTCAGATGTAGCCATAAAAGTAAGAGGGACGCTGCTTTAGCAGTGCCTGTTTTGGATCAGTTCAGGAGAAGCTATTTCAAATTACTTTGCATTTACCAAGGGGCAGAGAACTCATATGTAAGTGGTTCCTGCAGAGCGGTTATAAAGGCGTTTGATAGTGTTCTGAATTATTTCAACTGCTCTGACTTGCT